AAAAAACTATAGTAATATGCATGTATGTAAGAGAACGTACACGAAAAAAATGCCGTAGCACAAAGCAGGCTCGCACACACGTAGCTAACTGAAAAAAAAGGAAAAAAAAATACAGAAAAAGTGAATGGTAAGAGTTTTGAATCAAAGAGGCCTTGATTCAACGACGTTTCTAAGCAAGTATTACGCGTTACACGATGTATTGTAATCCCGTGTTTATAATTTTAATAAAATACCATCGCGTTAAAGAAACCCAGCAGATCAGCCGTGTCGGAGGTGCGTTATTGATTCATCATCATCATCACCATCATTGCCATCGTCTCAACATTATTATCGTCTATCATTATCTATCATCATTATAATCATTATCATCTTTTCATTGTTTTCCGTTCTCACAGACGAATATTCTTTTCGTTCACGAGGAAGAATAGCGTGTAGTTGAAAATGCGCGATCCAACAGCCGAAATTGTACTCTCTGCTCGCGAGTACAGACAAGTAAATCAAGGAATGAAAAATATAAATTCGACGACCGCGGCTTAAAAGGACTTTTCGCGCCGTCGGTCTAAATTCGATTTGTTCTAATTATTTTCTACTTTAATCTCTTTGTACTTTCTCTCCAGTAAACTCGTGAGCTAATCAGTGAGCTATTATGATTATACCGCGAAAATGATAATCGACGAGGTCGCAAATAGACCAAGTAAACACCAACTAACCGTAACATCAATATAACTCTCAACAATATAATTGTTACATACACAGTATACATTATATAGTACTTGTCGAACGGGAAATTATAATATTGATATAATGTTACTGTTAATAGGTGTTTATTTAGGACTATGAAGAAAAAGATAAAACTATAAAATAAAAAAGGAGACAAAGAATTTCTCTCTTTTCATTTCATAGTTCTTTTATATCTTACAGAATATGATATATAATTATGTTCTTAATTATAAAATATAATTACATAATATTTTTAATTATAATATATAATTGTATTATAGTTTTTTCATTTTATAGAAAAGATAGCGATTTGTGTTTACCATGGTGAAAAAGATTAAAGTATAAGATAATTTTTTGGACTCTTCCAACAATTTAAAAAAAAGATTTTAAGGTAAATATTCATCTGTTTTATATAAAGCTATTACTTGCAATGGAAAAGATTGAGAAAAATACTTTTTTTTATAAAAAAGAGATCAACGTTTTGAATCTTTTAAACGGCATTATGCACTTTTTTCATAATACTGTACACGGAGAAAATTTTATAATAAAAATTATTATAGAATCTTGTAATCTAAAAATAGATCAATATTCTGCGATAATTGACTATCCTTTCATTTTATATATGCTACTTATATTTTTAGAAACTTGAATGTAGTATTAAAACACACTTGCTATGTTTTTAATGAAATCGGTTATGTTTTAGCAAAATTTAATATGTTCCTTAGTAAAATAGACTTTACTAACTGTCTGTTCCTAAACTATTAAAAGCATAATAAAATTGAAAAGAATTTATACGAAAAAAAATACTATAATAGCCTTTCCGTGTAGGGTACTTTAAGACGAATTTAACGCACTACTCTATAGAAATGTTATTTTTATTAATATTAATATAAAATTTGTAGCATTTTTTTAAATAATAGTAATTATAAATTCAGAAAATTTTTAGTACTTATGTTTATATTTCTAGTCAGAACTCATGTGTGAGAAATAATCAAAAACAAATTCTCTTATTGGATCATCATATATGTGCATCAAGAGAAAAATATTTAAACCGTGTTGAAACAAATGTACACGCGCTGTACGAAAATGGATATGAACAATAAGAGCCAAATGCTAAATGTTTATGCAAATAGATTAGAATAATAATGTTTGATAGAGTGAAACTTATGCGCCGAATAATTTTCCGAACTTTCAACGTACGTGGTAAATTCTTCTGGTTAAGGTAGTATTTTTCGCAACTTAAAAAATGAAATAACACACATTAGAGTTTTAAATAAAAAAGGGCGTATCTATTAATTATAACATTATTAGCATCCAGGATCGGTTTGATTCGTACGTTGAAAGTCTCCGGAAAATCATTTGGCGTGTGCGTTTGACATTATCAAACATTAATATTCTCTCATTCTAATCTATTTGCACGAACATTTAGCATTTGACTCTTATTGGCCATATCTCTCTTAATTAAGTTTTACCTTTAGAGCTTCACATATATGTTTAGATCGATATGAATATTTCTTTTATGTCGTCCAGGTAGATTTCTCCAGAAAGTCCCATCATGTCTATCGCGAAGAACTTTTCACAATCGCGGGGATGAAACGCGGATAAAATGCCCGGGGAAAAGGAAGGGCAGAGCACAGTCCTTCGGGAATCGACGTCATCCATATTCCAACCCTAATTTAAGCTTATAAATCCGCGTCGTCGCGTCTTGCGAAATCTCTTCCATCTTTGATTTCTCGCGCGACCTCGCTGCCACCTTCCCGAGCGATATATTACCGTGTGGTGGATTTTTTATACATAAAAGTGATACGAGACGCGCATGCGGCTTGAGAGAAGACACCTCGCTAATTTACGGTACAGAGACAACGTGAAAAACAATCCTTTTTTCTTCTTCTGTAATTCAGGGCAATATTATTCGAGACTTGTGTTCGTTTTTGAAGCTTTTTATAGCTCTTTGCTGGCACTTCGCGCGCGCGCGCGCGCAACGTATGAATAAAGATATTACAATACTGTCGCTTCTGTAAACCAGAGAGCCACTCGCGCAACGTAAACGCGCATATATACACACAGAAGCATATGAATAAACAGGAATGTTTACTGTCTACCAATAGCAAACGCGTCGACGAGAGCGCAATCAAGTATCGATTTATAATTTCCTCTTCTTCTTCCGGAGAGACCTCCGAATTATCTTTCTCTCGCGTTTCACTCTCGGTTATATTGGGCTAAATTAGACATTATGAAATAACTGTCATAATTATGGGTCGAATTTTAATTTCCGGTCAAACTTTATGATTTATTAAAAAAGCACACATTATGATGAAATAATTTGTTTACATTCCCCAGCTATTTTATATAATTATATATTAAAGTTATATTCATAAGCATTGTTAATATCTATTTTATATAAGCTGAAACAATGTGAATATGGACATTATTAACATAAAATTAGGTATAACTCATTATTGGCCATATCTCTCTTAATTAAGTTTTACCTTTAGAGCTCCACATATATGTTTAGATCGATATTTCTCTTATATCGTCCGGATAGATTTCTCCAGAAAGTTTCATCGTGTCTATCGCGAAGGACATTTCGCGATCGCGGGGATGAAACGCAGATAAAATCCGTTATAGGGACACAAAATAACTTTGCTGACCCATAATTACGCTAATAATTTTTATTAATTAATAATTTATTAATTTGAAGTCTAATAATTTTGCTTTAAAAATATAATGTTTGTTGCTCATATTGGTATTAACAGTTTTTTCTAATATTTGATTGACAAATTTATGTGTATGAATTATTCTAATCTTAGAAATTGTTTACCTATGCTCGAGAAAAAGACATCTTCTGGATAATTTATAAAAGAAATACTAGTTCAAATAAATTGAAGTTAAACATATATTTTTATGTAATTTTAATAAAAATATAATTCTGTGTAAATGAAAAAAAAAATATTGGAGATATTAACATAAGTAGAGAACTTTGCTCATAAAAGTTCCGTGTTTGTGCTGAAATGGATACAGCCACTTACAATCAATGAAATAAAAGTTGCTAAAGATTTTTCCAAGATAAAAGTTCAAAATGAAAGTATTTTCTAGATGAAAGTGTTTAGCTCCTTTTTGATACATTTGTTTGTACCAAGAATGATTGCATTAATCCTAATATCCGAGGTTCCGGCCATAAAGGAATATTCAATATTTAAGGATATATTGTCTGTATAATCCCTACAAAGAATCATTGAAAGTTACATAAATACACGCATTAATATTTCTATATATATTTTTTTGTTTCATATAAAAAAGTATACATTACGATACCATTGAATGGCAACATGTTCTTACTTCAATGCATCATATTATTATAATTTACTTTATTTTATATTGTTTCTGGCTTTTAAATTGTTATCTCTAAACCACAAAAAAATTTTGCATACATTATTTTGTATACTTAGAGTACATGTATATAGAAATTGAAATTTTTGTCATTATTTTTTAATTACCTTTTACTAAAGATAACAACATCATATATTTGCATAACAGTACAGTTTAGAATTTCAAATAGCTGGATGATGTCGAATGAGATATAAATGACGTATTATTAATGTTAAAAACGTCATTAATACACCATTAAAACATCATTTGACATCACCATATTTGCTGGGCTTTCATTTCAAAGCGAAATAACTTTTGATCTAAACTCTAAATCAATGTCCAATTGCTTGCGCTTACTTTTAAATACAATATCAATTAGATGAATTTTCAATTTTTTTCAAAATTTTTTCATTATTTTTGAGATATCGGCGATACATTCTTTAAATTTGACTTGAAGTTTTTAAGTGTGTAATATAAAATTTTTCTTATATTATACCATTAATATCTTCCTTTAAAAAATTATAGAAGCCTTCTGAATTTTTCCAGCGAACAATTTTCGTTTTTCGGCATGCTGGCGTGTATTATTTTTTCGTTTAAGTTATGCGGCTTGCATCGCTTTTTAGCGAATAAAGTTATTTTGAAACTTTCTTCTTACTTTATTGTTTAATTTTTTAGAGCTCTTTTTATCCATTTCTAAAGCCAGGTGCGACTGCTTTATTATTCTCTCGCATACAGAACGGAAAGAAAGGAATAAGAGCTATTACTCAGTAAGCAAATTGATAATGCGCGCAGTTTGGCAGTAAATTTGATCAGAATCCCATACCAAAACTATAAATATCTGTATCCGCATTCAGCTCGTGTTTTGATGTTAGAATCTGCTGATAGGCAATGCGAACAGATTGACAGCAGAAACGTGCAGATCTTGTCACGTAGCAGGACTTGCTCGTTTCTGCTGCCAATCTACCGTCAGATCGTACAGGTTCTGCTCGATTTCTGCCGCCAATCTACTCGAATTGTCTGTTAGCAGGCTCTGTCACATTTCTTGTAAGAACTAGAAACTCTATTTCTTTCAGTCAAGACGCATTTTGTTGATTATTTTCACGTTAATGTGACATTTCTGGCGACAATTTGGCAATATAATCAGATATAACAAATCCTGTGTTGAATTTGATGCCTTTCTGGCATCACAAATTTGTAGCAGACTCTGTTCAAAAACTATTTACGCAAATTTGGCGATCTGGATATATAAACTTATATTATATGCCGAAACATTAAAGCTCTAGGAATTCTGAGCACTACGATCTTTCTTACCTTCGTGCCTTATTCAACGTACAAATCCCACAACTTTAGTAATTTTTCGAATTTTTAAGAATCTCTTTAGGAACACATTTTCTACACTCAAAACTTTGAAATGAAATGCAAGAAAAGAGAAATCGATTTGTTTGACCTACCAAGATGGACAGTTCCTTTAAACGACCTATAATTAGAATCGTTACTTTACAGGAAATCGCATATTCGCTTGTAATAAAAATTTATCGACATATATCCGCCAAGCGAGGTAAATTTCAAACAAGGCAAAGCCAAATGCCTCGTAATAAAGGCAGCTTATTATTCATACGAGAATGTAAAATGCGAGTTTGTTTCGCGATCTAACTTTAAAATAAACGCTTTTATCTCCGCAAATCCTCTGACAAGCGGAAAGGGAGGGCGCGTTGGAGTGAGAGTGTTGGGGAGAAAGGGCTCCACTAAGAGAGCAATTTTCATGTCGATCGTTTTTATTCATACAACCCGATAAAGTCATGCTGCATAAGACACGCGCGCACATATAATATCGCGTCGCGATCGCGAATCGACGTCAACGCTGGCGTCGCTCGCCCGCTCCTACGTTGTTCGCCTTTTTCCCCCGACGTTCCTCCACCACCCGTCAATTTTCCCTGCGAGAAGAAGGGGAGGGGGAAGGGAGGGGGGAGAGGTTGTTGTCCCATAACCTGACGAATTTATCATCGCGCACTGCCTGTCGATAAAATATCTATCGCGGACATACTCGCGAAGAATACGAGGGCGAGGAAGGGAAGGCGGGAGGAAGGATCGTTCGTCGTCGAATGTCCGGCGGAAACGCGTCGTACGTCGACGCGACGGCACAGCGCGACAAGCTGGAGCCGCCGCGATCTTTGCAAGGTGTCGAGGATGCGGAGATGATTTGGGACACGATCGCGAGGCGATTCCCGAACACGGCGCCGCTGCTCTGCGAGATGGAGACGGTGATCGAGCGCGCGGAGGACCTGCTGCAGCAGCTCAGAGCGACGTCCTGCACCCAAGGAGTCGGTACGGGCTACTCCGGGGTATTCAGTGCGATCCTGCGAGAATCCTGCGAGTCGATCGGGAGGAGGATTCTCCCAGGGGAAGCGAGTTTAATCTCGCGATGAGGGGAAGATGAATAAATTTAATTTAATTTCGCGCCTTTCAAGCATCGGCTTGCGCGAGCGTGAAATTAATGGCTACAATAGCGCGATCCAATTATGCAAACAGCCGCGTGTATGTGGTATAATTAGCTGTGCGCCGAGCTAACGTGATTGTAATTATCGTGTCATTAAGTGGAGTGCATTTACAGTATTGCCGCACGGAAAAGAATTATTTATTCACAAGCAGGATTGTGATTTTTCGTACATGGAAAAAAGATCAGTTGAATTAACGTGACAATAACACAATCGTCATAATCATCACAATTAAAATATCAAAGGATCTAATGACGTTTAAATCTAATATCTATTCTCTAATCTGACTTCAAGCTATAAATCATTATCATTACTATCGACCTAGCGAACATTACTATAAATATGGGAAATATTCTGTACATTAATTGTTTATCTTATAATTACGCTCTTTTCTTAAACCATTTTGTAATATTTCGCGTTTTGAGAGGGTATATTCTAGGACATTAATAAATGCTATTCACTCACACAACTAAACGCATTTTGATCAAAGAAGGCAAAATTCGTAGTTCAATAATGAAACACATTTGGTTCTTAAGAATCAGAAATTCTGTTTTCCCGAGCTAAAACGCATTCAGTTATATCATTGTCCCGCTAAAGATTGATTAAGTTAATGTAATAATGGTGCAACTAAATATGTGAGTTGAAGAAAACAGAATTTCTGATAATTCTATACAATTTTATACAAAGGCTCTACGAAGTATACAATTTTAATTAAATATATCTTTGGTTTAAATGTTAGAGCAAATATTAAGTGTTGAGTAATAATAATGTTTAACAGTGTTAACGCACATGCCGGGCAAATTTTCTAATTATAATGTACATAGTAAAGCAAACCAATTAAATCGATCCTGAAAATCCCAATCTATATAATTAATATTAATATATTATTATATTATTAATATAATATAATTATATAATATAATATTATAATATTATAATTCTATTATATAATATAATAGAATATATATATATATATATTCCTATTATATTCCTATTATATTTCTATTATATAATATAATATTATTATTAATATTATTATTATAAATTATAATAAATTATATTAAAAATTAATCATAATAATTATTGTTATTGTTATTGCTATTATTATTGTTATTGTTATTATTATTATTGTTATTGTTGTTATTATTATCATTATAATTATTATAATTATCCAAGTTAATATCATGCTAGTCAAAAAAGGTTAAATCTGAACTTTTAATAAATGTCTTTTAATAAATGTCTGTATCAATCCAACAAAAAATTTACATTATTATATGACGTGAATTTAACGATTAATTCAATACAGTACATTTGCTTCTAAAATGTAATTTAAAAAATTCTTAAATGTAATTAAAAAAGATTCTGGAATTTCCATCATGAATTGTCTCACGTTATAACAATCATGATAGTCTATCTAGGTAAGAACACTCCCCGACAATCTTAAAAAATTTACAACTTCGTAGCATTACTTCCGAGCTAGTTCGCAAGACGCGTGACTCTCGCTCGACATTACAGACACGTCCAGCTCGTTTCACACTCCGGATTCGCGGGAATCCAACACGACAATCTCGATGGTCTCCGACATAGAATCGTTCGCCGAGGAAACGAACGTACGTAGAATAAACCGCCGCGCCGAGTCTCGCTCGCTGTCACGTATTATACTGTGTTCTCTACTCTAAATCGAAAAAATACAGCCTCCGGAGCAGGTAGCTGAGCAAGCCATTGAGAATCTGGAGGAGGCGCGAGTCACGGTGCAAGATATTCGCGAAAAGGTAACTGAGCCGGAGTCTCAACGTGGCGATGAGCAAACCATTCGGCGGAAGGAGCAGAGGGTAGAGGAATATCATTTGAATTCACCGGCGAGGCTCGATGAAGTCGTTCAACATTTCAAAACGAGTTCGACTAAGTGTCACAGTTCCCAGGGGGAATCAGACGCAAATGTAACGGATAGCGGCGACAAACGGATCGACGTCAGTTCCGAGGAAAGTGAGTGATGTGTCGCAGTAGAAAAAGATAAAAAAGATAAGAAATAGAAGAAGCGCAGACAGCGCAAATGTCTAAAATACGTATGAAAGACATTCAAAAGGTGTCTAAGACAAATAGAATATTTTTCGGATATCTTAAATATGTTTTTTAGACATTTAGGCTGCGTATGAGTATCCGCTAATACACGTGAGAGAGATTTCGTACTTTAACAAGATTGCCCAAATATAATTCATTAGGACTGGCGGAGATCATGGCAGAAAAGAGCAGCTTGGAGGGTTGGACGAAAGCGGTTGATAACGCATTGCGGGAATGGCGCGACGATACGGAGAACATCGATGCATCCGGTACGAGCAAAAAACATATTTCGTTACACGATTCAAAATATCATAATTGCTTTGAAAGTTTGTAATATCATTACTGTTTGTACATTATTGTTTGTAAATATCATAATTTTTCTTCCTTCTTTATTCTTCCTTACCCTTTCTTCCTCTATATATTCTGAATTCTTTATTTTATTGGTATATATCCGTAGTATCTACTTCATTTTAGTACACTAAAGGGTTTTTTTCTTTAATAAAAATTATTATATATGTAAGAGTCGGAGAGAAAAGCGGAACTTTGCTAGGTCGGGACTCAAATCCGGGTCTTTCGTTTGCCAGGTACTGCTCTAAACCACTGAGCTACCCAGGCTCCCGCCCCAACACATTCTCTCTCGTCTTCTTATTGATGTTATTTGTCAAAATGCCGCGTGTTACCTCAGTTCGATCTACATCCTACAGTTAGGCCAGCCTGGCATCACATTCGTCCCGAATGTGCTTTCCACTAATTTAAACTTTAACGTATGTCTAATATCCGCTCACCGGCCAGTGTCTCCTATCTATAAACCTTAAACCATAACTGAGACACCCCTGGGTCTTGCGCGATATTTTTTTGAGAACACTAAATACTAATCCAAACTTAACGCGTGTCTAATATCCGCTCACCGGCCAGTATCCCCTATCTACAAACTTTAAACCATAACTGAGACACCCCTGGGTCTTGCGCGATATTTTTTTGACAACACTAAACACTAATCCAAACTTAACGCGTGTCTAATATCCGCTTACCGGCCAGTATCCCTTATCTACAAACTTTAAACCATAACTGAGACACCCCTGGGTCTTGCGCGAAATTTTTTGGACAACACTAAACACTAATCCAAACTTAACGCGTGTCTAATATCCGCTCACCGGCCAGTATCCCCTATCTACAAACTTTAAACTATAACTGAGACACCCCTGGGTCTTGCGCGATATTTTTTTGACAACACTAAACACTAATTCAAACTTAACGCGTGTGTAATATCCGCTTACCGGCTAGTATCCCTTATCTACAAATTTTAAACCATAACTGAGACACCCCTGAGTCTTGCGCGAAATTTTTTGGACAACACTAAACACTAATTCAAACTTAACGCGTGTGTAATATCCGCTTACCGGCTAGTATCCCTTATCTACAAATTTTAAACCATAACTGAGACACCCCTGGGTCTTGCGCGATATTTTCAACGACGCCAACATTAAACACAATTCAAACGGCAGCTCCGAACCGATCAATCCCGAACTCTCTGACGAGGAAACACGATGAGTACGCTAATCCCACTTCTGAACTGTAAGGCCCGATCTACAATAGATGGAGTAAGGAGTAGGAGTAGGAGTAAGACAAAATGAAAATAATGATTTCGCTTACTCCCTTACTCCAATAAAAGTTTGCCCGTATACATGACATGGAGTAAGCCTGAATTAAGTAGTAAGAGCTGGAGTAAGGGAATAAGCGAAATAAATTATTTCCATTTCGTCTTACTCCTACTCCTTACTCCATCTATTGTGGATCGGGTCTAAGAGTCAGAGAGAAAAGTATATCGAAAGCCGGAGTTTGCTGGGCCGGGACTCGAACCCGGGTCTTTCGCTTGCCGGGCGACTGCTCTAAACCACTGAATTACCTAGGCTCCGGCCCCAACACACTCTCTCTTGTCTTCTTATTGATGTTATTGTCAAGATGCCGTGTGTTACCTCAGTTCGGTCTACATCCTACATATACAGGGTGTAAAAATTAGACCGACAAACTTTGAGAGGAAATAGAGGACATAAAAACAAACATATTTTGTTAATAATGTTTTTCTCTACGACGCTTCGTTTTAATACTACAGAGTACAAAATAGGAATTTTATGATTTTAACAAAAAACATATAAGTGGAAAAATTAAATTTATTTCAATTACACATATATATTTTAATCTTCAAAAAACAATAAACAAAAGAACAGAACAAAAATGCGCAATTGATTAGCTCAATTTATAATAAATGTTCAAAAATTCCTCCATTTGCTTCAAAACAAAGATGACATTGTCGAATTTATGAGACACCTATTGAAACAGAAGCAGAATTGGTAGCCCGAATTACTGCTGCAGCATATCAGGTTCAAAATATTCCTGCAGTCTTCGAGTGTGTGAGATAATCAATGTTTTGACGATGTTATCTTTGTGTTGAAGTAAATGAAGGAATTTTTGAACATTTATTATAAATTGAGCTAATCAATTGCGCATTTTTGTTTCGTTCTTTTGTTCATTGTTTTTTGAAGATTAAAATATATATGTATAATTGAAATAAATTTAATTTTTCCACTTATATGTTTTTTGTTAAAATCATAAAATTCCTATTTTGTACACTATAGTATTAAAACGAAGCATCGTAGAGAAAAACATTATTAACC